TATGATGTATGTAGACAGCACGTATAATCATGTTGGTGGGCGTTGTCGCTCGTCAAGCAAAATCAGTTGATCTCAGATTTCAGGGAGGGGTAGGGGAGGATTATAGGAATGGGTATTGGAGTATGTTTAATGGAATAGGTTTTGTTGTTCGTGAACCTCGGCATGCTTAGATACCGGAGTTCATTAGTGCACAGGGTGCTTGATGTAGGTGATTTGCAAGTGGGGTGGGGTATAGTCGTGGCTCCGAATATTGCCGGGGCAATTTCCAGTGTTCTTGCAAGTTCAGTACGGAAATCAATTTCAAAACCTTAGCAGTCACTGGTTGCGAGTGTTGCCCTGGGCAACGGTATTGGACGTGTGGGGAGCGATTGCACCATGCGTTATGCTTCGCTAGCTTGCAGCCCTTGTGCTAGGCGTTTGTCACGACATTCGCCCTTTTTTCTACAGCCGGGACTGATATCGTGTGTGACGACTTTTGTTGATTTCACATCTCGCTGCATTTCTCAGTCGAAACGACAGTTCCAGCTAGGTATGATGCATAGCGCAGGATAGCGGTTAAAGGAGTTCAGGGGTCGCGCGCGTTTAGATTCTGAAAGTGCAAAGACACGTCCGTTGCAGTAGCGCTGATGAGCGGTGGCGCACTGAAAGAAGTGCTTGGTGTTCAGAACGGACTCCTTTTCTGTGAGGAAGCACTCAGTCCAGTATTCTGTAAGCCAAAATTAATCCCACTGAAGTCAGTGACTCTCGAAAAACTCGAGAAAATGCAAAAGGAATCTGTGGAGGCTATGATGAAACAGATGCAAGAGAAAAATCACGCAAGGCCGGATGTGGTAAACTTTTTCAATGATTTGAGAAAAGTGTTGTCGGAGCTCTACGTTTTGGGTTGAGAGAAAAGGTCAAGTTTTTGCGACGGGAGCCCGTTTCTCCTATATTCTCTTTGATGGCACTCTAGCCTGAACAAAGGCCTCGAAAGACGTTTTTTGAAATTCAATAGGATTTTCACATTGGTTTTCAAACACTGGTGTTTGAGGTTTAAAAATGATAATCCAGGCTTGAGTACATCAGGATTGCTGGTGCGGTCGTACGTTTTTGCGCTAAACTTATAGAAAAGCAAGGATGGTCCCTGTCCTGCAGTTCAACACATGGACTTATAACGGTTGCGTCTCTCCTTCCACACGCAGGAGGAAAGAACGTGGCTGGGGCGAGGGTGTTGCATTATGTAGCTGCATGGACCTCTAACGTATATAATTATGAATTTCTGGAATGAAACCCAGTCGTTTTTTCGGTGAGTGCGCGTTCACTGGAAAAAATAATTGGCCATCGCACGGGCTGTCCGTGCGATGATGCGTTTTTTGCATAGTTCCCCGCAGTTTATGTCGCTACCGCTATCGGTTTTTTCGGCAGGTCCTTCTGGCTAAACAAATTAAGACTGGCCGTCAAAACTGGCAGGAAACACCCCCTCAAAATTTCAGC